ACGTTTTTAAAAGCCTCCGTTTGCACTTTTCCACTCCAGAAAAAGGAAAAAGAAGAAAGAAAGAAAGAAATACGTGGCTGAGTGGTTAGGGTGCTGGACTTGTAATCCGGTGTCCTGGGTTCAATTACTCCACCCTGCCACTGGTTGGATTTGTTCTCGGTTGCTCCTAGTTCAACTCCTCGGATGCGCTCTGTAATTATCCTACTAGTCTGTCTCGATCCTGCCGGTATTTTCAATTGTAAAGCGCTGAGAAGCTTACAATAAGTGCTATATAAATTGTACAAGTTTTTCTTTGTTTTTTTACCTTTTTACCACGTTTACAGCGCATGTACCACCAGAGCCCCAAGACGCCATTAATAAACACAGTCATCACTGCACAAGATACAGGGACTGCTATCGCAATGTAAACGGTTGAGCTTTCTTGTAGTCTTGCTTGTGTAATTGCTGTAAGATACAATTCAGACGAAGTTAGAAAATGAGTGGCCTACAACCTTGATCGTAGTGATTTAAAATCATAAAAAAACAGAACCATGTAGAGTCCAGTTCGGTCTGCGATCAATTGATTACAACCTCTACAACTTCTGAGAAAACCAAAATGTATTCAGATCACTGAAAGAGGGGCATGTAGTTCCAGTCTCCTAACACTTAACGATTACGCTTTTTGAAAAATACACACTTAAAACCTCTAGAAACAGCTTTCCATATTTTGGTAAATTTCATGCCATTGCTATTGTCAATTTAATGAGTTCTGTGATTATTGGATTTGTTTAGTTAAACGTAATGTGATTGGGTGATGGACTGTTCGATCACGAGCGTCCGATTTCAACCAACTGTCCTCTGACAACACTACGGAATTGTGAAAGTTAAGGCAGTCCATTCACCAATCATACTTGAAGAAAATGAAATGGTTGTTATTACCGCTTGCGTAACCAGTATAGTTAAGGGTATGACACGAGTCACACTCGAACGTTTTGTTTTAAGTTAATGTTTAATCGTATTTCAAGAATCTAGGTATTATTTTGCACACACGTATGATGCACGATCCTCGCAGTAGATACCGTTATTTATGCAATAGCGAAAATCAGACCTGAAAAAAATCAGACCTGTACGGGACTCGAACCACGGACCTCTGCGATACTAGTGCAGCGCTCTACCAATTGAGCTAACAAGCCAACTGGGAGCAGGCCGTTAAGTTGTTTCGTAATAAATCCGTGAAAGTGATAAATGAGATGCAATGAATATATGAACTTCATATATTCATTGCATCTCATTTTGAACACAATTGTAGACAGCAAAAGGGGGCAGGGAGAACGATTTAGGACAACATATATAGCTAAGATACCT